TTCTAATGAAAAGAGCATACTACGTGAAGCATTAGGATAGTGTATGAAATAGTTTTGGTTTCGAATTTAGATTTAGATTTGTGATTCGATATGATGCCGTAATTTTGCGACGAAAATTCTTACAAACAAAATAATTTTGTTCGATTCAGAAGAGATATTATCAAATCTCCAGCTATTTCCCATTCCTAATTAAAAGTATTTGCTGAAAAAATTTTGACTCTATACACTTCACTTTTTTTTTGATTGTTTGTTTAATCCAATAAGTGTGATTAGTCGATATTCGTGAGTAAAATTATATGAATTCTATCAGAGAACAACGGAGTATTTCGTTCATGAAATAGATTAAGTGTTCCACTTCAATCTGAGTTGAAATCAATTTTATTTATAGCGTACATTAGAAAAATTTTATTATTCCATTTGTTCTTGATAAGAAAGTTCAACGCCTACGATCGACTATTATCATTTACATAAAGGTTGGTAAAAATTTTCATTCAACATTGGTAAATCATTAATATTGTCCAATATTTAGACTTTAATCGATGAAAAGAAAATTTCATCCATAGTTCTGATTCAAGAACCAAATTTAATTACATGAATATATCATACAACGTTGTTTATATTGGTAAGCTTCTAGTATGAATCGCTTCTTTGATCTAAAAGACAAGAAATATTTCAATTATCGATTTTTCATTATTTATTACTATTATTTTAATCTTTTCTTTTAGTACTCTCTCTGCGATTTAATCAATGTTAAAATATATTTTTATCGAATTCAATAAACATACCTGCCATTTTTTATCATGTTCGAAATGAGTATATGTCGATAGATTTGATAAATCTTGAGTGCGTGGGGTGTGACCATATAGAGAGAAAACACTCACACTCTTTCGATGAAAGATGGTACCTTTGAGCAATATTCTTGAAACTCATTCAAGTCAAAATAATCTCGATGTCTTCAACTATCATTTAAAAACAAGCTAATAAAGTTAAATAAAATAGCGAAGATATTCAAAAAGAAACTTTTAGGAAGGGACTTTTGGGACACACTGTAGAAGAGGTGAAGCTTAGGTTAAAAAAAACGTTCAGAAAGCTTCATTTGAATCGTACATCAATAAAATACAACGAAGTGAAAGAAAAACGACTCGTAATACTTTTTACTTCCATGAAAGGATTCATAGAAATAATTTGATATGATCCATTTCGTCGTGATTGTTAACTTTATGATAATGTGTCTATTATAAATTGATAGATAGCATCTAACAAAGCTTGTAAAGAGATATCATTTAGAACTGCTCTTCAACATTTTACAGTAGGTTGTAACGACTGCGTTTTTTGACGTTTTCTGATGTTTTCTGAACCATTCTACGAAATATGATTATTCAAAGATTATGAAATGAATAACTCCACATTTGAAAAGCAATGTGTGTGGCTATATATTAAAAGAATCTTATACTCGCACCACCATACTCCGAAGAGAAATTGATGGCATAAGACAAAAACATTCCAAAAGACCATTCATTTTAGTCACTTTCAAGATTAAAAATAGAATTTTTCTACTGGATTTTTTGATCATGTATCAAATTCGAACCATTCGGGTTTCGTCTTGTATGCAATCGCTTTTAAATAATTAATGATATGAAACATAAGTATATACCGAAACCAAAGCTTGTAATTTTAGTATTTGAGGATTGATCTGAATGAAAAGAAGTTCTATTTCTCTAAATAATGAAGAAAGTCTTTAATCCACGAAAAAACTCCTTCATTGTACTATCAACCAGTTATTCAAGCTGCTGATCTTATTACAAACTGAAACAATCGTACTTCAAGGTCCTTCAATATTACAAACATTGATGAACGTGAAAACAAAACTTAGACACAGGAAACGACGAGAAATCTTATTAGTTCTGTTTTTCTTTACCACAACATCTCATCAACAAGTTCATCAATAAGAGAAATTTGTCAATTATTTAAATTCTTCATGAGCCAATCATGATAAAATTACATACAGAAAAAATTGAAATCAGAAGACTTTCTATTCAAACGTAAAGTCATGAACTATTTTTGAGCTTGAACTAAAAATTTTTTGAATTGAGATGTCGTGTCATCTACAAGCCGTACTTGTCTTACTTCAACTCTTTAGCAAAATCGATTTCTTTTTTGAATGACAAGAAAAGAATTTAGTATTAATTTGATTTTATAAGATGACTGAATAGCACATTTAATATCAGTAATTGAAATTAATTTCAACTTTAAAACATTGATAGATTCACGGATATCATTCACTATAGAATTTTTTGTTTAATTTTCATAATTGACAAACGATTTGATGAAGATGAGCACAATAGTCATATGTGGTTCACATTGCAATTCAATTGGACATGTCTGTTCATCACTAGTTTCTGTAACATATGTTTGCAGTTTTTGATAGATTAAATTCAATTTAATCGATGAAGTTTTATTCGATATAAATAAACTTCATGGCATTTTTCTCAATGGAACCAAATCATGATCATAGAGAAGATATTGATTTTCATCAATAGTTTTATTTTGTTTATAAATATCCTTTGTTTTTGTTCATTAACTGCTATGAGAGCATTCTCTGATGGTTGAATAGATATGAGACATGTTTGATGCTCCTTTATGAGAAAAAATTTCGTTTCATGTATCATAGATAATATTATATTCTCAGGCAAGATTATTTTAATTTCATACGATGCTATATATTTATAATCATCCGTGATTTAATCATTTCTAATAATTCTTGAATTATGAAATGAAAGAAATACTTTGACTTACAGTGAGAATTATATAGTATTAATTTAACAATCTTCATCAGCATAGTGTCCAAATGAATCGAATACCCTAAAATAATTTTCCAGGGGTGTGAATTTCAACTATTGATCAAGAATAAAACGACTCAAGATCGAAGTAATTGTAGCTTCTGCTGTGACGAACTATTCGAATATAATAGGAATTATTAATGTTTTTTCTTAATATAATATTTTGTTTCTATAATAGGTAATGAATTATTTACATATTTTTTATAAAATCAACTAATAATCTTTGAGTATAATAGCAAAACATATGTTGGATGTTTTCGATGCTGAGTGTTCTACTTGAGTTCGACTATTTTCAAATAGAACTGATGATAGTCACGAAATTGATGTTATTTTCTACTTACCCAGAGATATATAACTGATTGTTTCCTCATAGACTACATGTGATGGGACAGTCGCAGGCTTCAATGCTTCAACATAGACGTTTGAAATATCAATTATTTGCAATCAATCGATTAAGCCTGATAATCATCGTCCTTATTTCGGAATACATTAAAACTATTTTCTCTTCAATAACAATGACTCGTTTTTGTAACGAAGATTGTATGTCTACGTATTTCAGACATAATGAAACATAGTTTTCACACTTCATTTCTTTAGGTATTAATGATACAATTGAATTTTTAATTCTTCACTGTTCATATAAGTGATAGACACCTTTGATTTGTGATAAAGTAAAATCTTTAATTCGAAATAGCCTCAAAAAAATTTTTAAAACGTCCATAATACATTGAAGAAAATTCGATTCATTTTGAAGTTGATCAAGATTTTTCTGTTCTAAATGACTCCAAATTTGAGAAAATACTGTTTTTCAATGTCAAAACTAGTACGCGATAATTGTTCAATCCATTGACAATCGATTTTATTCAATGTAATTGCACCTATATTTTCTTGAATTATTTGTAGAATAGATATTTCTCTTTCAGATAATTCTCTGATTATACCTTTTAATGGACCTAAACTAAGGGTGTCACTATTTTGGTTTATTTCTGTTCTGAGTGATTCGAGAAGATTGGTATAATTCCCAGGTGATTCGATCCGACTGTCGGATTACGTCGGACTATATCAGATTATATCGAAAAAATTACCGGATTTTAACGGATCCGACGGGAACTCGTCGGCGTCCTAGCCACAGGATTCCGACAGGAGGTTCCGGATGTCGGAATAATCAGGATCCTGCGAAATCCCTGAAACTCCGACACTTTCCGACATCCAGAACCACTTGTCGGAATCCTGTGGTTAGGATTCCGACAAATTCCGGCGAATTTCTATCGGATTCGACAGGGTGAATTCGACCTGGGTAATGATTTACAAGAACACTAAACTAAAATATATATATTTAGTTACATAATGTTTGCAATCTAAGTTTACCATTGACGAGAGTCTAATATTTGCTTTTAACTATAGACCCTTTTTTTATTTTGACAGTTCTCAGAGTATTGCAGGATAATAGGAAAAAGACAATAATAATGAATTTTTGCGAGTCACAGATCTCATAAACATAATAATATTCTGAGAATTACAGTTCGAACGAATATTTTTATTCCGAGATAACACATTTTCATCAGAAACATTACTTTTTTTTTTACACAACTCATAACTAGAGAAGAAAGGTATAATAACATGAGCAATTTTATGATTTATACGAATAATAACAATGAGCAAAATATAGACGGAAACACATAGTATTAGTTAGGAAGGGTCCACCGTTACTTCACACCCAAAAGACCTTGCATAGCGGTGAGCAGTTTCAATTTGATAAATGCTGACAACGTTGATTCAATGTAGCTAGTGCATACTGATATACTGAAACACATTTCCACAAAAAGAGCATATTTTTTAACGAGTTGGCGGCATTTCAATGTTTCCGTCAATGCGAATGTTAATACAGTGAGTGCTTCAAGATTTCGATCAATACTCCTAATGATATCTCCTTCATCAGAATTATCTGTTTTAGCAAGATGGCTTACTTATGTTTCGATAGAAATAGTTTCAAAAAGTTGAATAAGATCATCATAGGCACCGGATCGAATTGGTCCATTAGCAAATGTATGATAAGCATTAACAGCTTCGATATCCTTTTCAATTATCGTAGAATACTTATCCTGTTGACTTGGTGGATGCAGACGATTTGAAGATTGATAAGCTTGTTCATATAATTGTTTTAATGTAATGGTGTAAAATTCCATTGTGGATTATATAATTCAGTTTTAAAATGAATGACTTCAATTATAATAGGTATTCGAGATATGTAATTTTGTAATTTAGTCTAGGGTTCAGATTGTGATTGTATAGTATTAATTATTTGTTTATAATCAGCTAATTTTTTATGTGTAGGATAGAAAATTTTCCTTTGAAATCTTTTTTCAGCTTCAACTTTCTCAATACTTGTCTTATAGAATGACTTAATTCATGGATTTAGAAAACTCGAGTACAAATAAAAAAAATACGTCTTTTCTCGAACACTATCATTAGCTATACGTTCTGTTACTGTCAAGCCTAGATATATAAAATGGATATTATCATTCTTTGGACTCACCATAGCACCAAATATAGCAAAAAAGGCGATATAAACCGCTGGAACACTGAGTTCGTTGCCTCCATAGAGTTGCTTTGATTCTCATTTTCTCATGAAATACAAGATACATTATGTGAAGGATCGATATCTGCCTATGAAAAAAAACTTACCGTAAGATTCTTCGAGTTTCAACCGTTCAAATGCAAATGTCCAGAGACTATTTTCTTTTTCACCGAGTAAAATCATCATTGAAAGATTAACAAGTGTATGACGAATGGGTAACTGTTCTTCATCGTGATAATCGATTTTGAATAAATCATTAAGATAATTTTTATCCTTAGTAATTGAGTTAATTCATAATATGTTACGGTTAGTATTGTGTTTTTTATTGAGAATAGATTATATAATTTATCAGCCCATTGAGCCTTTAAATTTTGAATATGTTCTGATTAAAGTAGATCAACAAGAAAATTCCATGATTTTTTGGTAATTATAATTGAATAGAAATGTTCAACATGTTTACTTTGTTGAACAAAAGGTTTGTAAAACGAAAATATTCTTTTAATTGGTTGAATACGTTTTCTGCAATAGAAATTCTATTTAAAATATTAATATTTGGTAAGGTAAAGGAATTTTATAGATAAAATTTGATCGAATTTTTTCATCGTTTATTAGTCGTCGAAGATGGAAAAGAATAGATCAATTAACATATGATTTTGATTTGCACCACTAAAAAACATTTATACAATTTTGTCGATTATTTTCAATTAAAATATTAATTAATTAATTCATCAAAAAGAAATTGTTTCATTGGTAATAATAAATTGACATGTGAATTGATTTAAAAATTTCAATAGAGAGATTATTTCTTGACATGATAATCCTTTTGATATTGTTAATTTTGCAATAATGCATTGTTGAATAATAGTAGATAAGAGTTGTAGACAACTTGATCCTTCGAAATTCATATGACCACTTTCAATATTCTCTTGTACTAGTGATGCCTCATTTAATAATTGTTAAGAAAATTATTGAGTACTTTTGCTGGTGGTGTAAGTAATTGTGGATCATAATCATCGAAAGGGAGATCAGCTTTTTTTTCTAAATATTCTCAAAAGTAAAACATTCAATCGGTGGAAAACAAAATCTTTGAGAGTAGTCCTCTATAAGTAAGCTATGATTTTATCAATGGATATTATACGAGGATAAGAAGAAATTGAACTCACGATCAAAGTTTGATGTTTCAGTTACATGACAAAAAGTGGATGAAACTTGAAATGATTCTTCGCTTGATCAAAGAAGTTATGACTGACTGCGGATTATATAGTACTTGACAAAAATATAAAAGCAACGAAATTCTGTTTTTTTCTACAATATTAAGCAGCTGATTCTCTATCAAATGCATTTCATATCAAAGTTTCATTGATGGCCTATGAGAGCAAGGTTTCTTAATAGCTCAAAACGATATTTTTCAGATCCTACAATACTTATTTTTGAAAAGTATTTTTGAAGAGTATCATCTTGAAGGTACAAAATTTTGAGTAAAATGAAAGATTGTCGTATTCCGCATGAGATCCGCTTGAAAAGTTATAAGCATGATAAAACAACAAAGAAAAATGCATTTTTTAAGCAATTTTATGATAAGTTTCGCTTTTTATTTCATTTTTGTGATGCTTTATTTTATTAAGATAATACCGGCGGACATTCAGCGACTCCTAACTCTACTTAGAATTTTATACCTCTTCAAGTCGGTTCTATGCCATTTATACTAGTTTAGCAAGAAACGCATTTGATAGGAAACTGCATCGACTATTTAGATTAGGACTTGAATTTGAGTTAAATACTTGATGTCATAGACAAAAAAAGAGCAAAAATATATTGCTCTTATATTTTTGTTCAATAATGCAAAATAGAAACCATTAGTTTTCACCCATTGAACAAGAAATAATTTGGCTATAAAGTGATATAAAACTCTATTGATCATCAATTGGATAATCAGCTGGATTTTTGATCAATATTTTTGAAAAAAAATGTTAAAGGCGTTCCGCATAGAGTTTTGGCTTGCAGTACGACTAATCGATTAATAAAGTTGTTTTTTTTGCATCTGGATAAGATCATTTATCTATCTTATCCTGTTCGAAAGATAAAGAGATTCTCCAGAAATTTTTGAATTCAACCATTTTATCTTGGAAAACATGTAAACAACTCTTGATAAGGATCGTTGATCAAGCTTAGTCCATTAACACTCTTTATTATCGCATTGCAACTAATCTAAAACCACGAGAATAAGATTTTTGACATATTGACTATTTAGTCTCTTTGTAGCAGGGCAACCTTATATTTCAAGAAACTTGCTGTCGCGGTTGCAATTGGTTTTAGAGCTAAAATAAAGATTGTTACACAGCTGAGCTATCTCAATCAATTCTATCAAGACCTATTTTCAGATGATTCAAGATAGATCTGTTGTATTTAGAAGTCGTTAGGAAACCTTTTAGTTAATAGCGTATCCGAAGGCAGGGAGAGAGGAGCTCAGATGCTTCATTGAAAAGCCCACATCAATCCTTTACGATTTGTAGCTTAAACATCTGAACACTATACTTATTTGTGCAGATCAGATGTGTGTTATTAAGAGCTCATGTAATTGGCTGATAGAGTTTGACACGGTTTTCCAGTCAAATAATTTATCTGTTATTTGATCAATACCCATGGTCTCAATCTTATTCGTATGTAAATTTGTGTTGAAAATATCAACTTGCTTTGCATTCTCGTGTTTTTTGAGAAATGGTTTATATTGAAATTCTTGAATTCTTTGCGAAAAAGTAGAAAGAACAATTTTAGTAGGGAAAATAACCGATTACGTGAGTTAGATATTATCGAATCTATACTTTCGTTATTTTCACAGTATCTCGATAGCTCGTTCAAGTATATCAATATCTTGTACTCGATTACAATGATTAGTTCATTTCAAAAATCGAGATTTTTTTAAATATTAAGAAAAGTATCAAACCATTGAATTGCTTTTGTTGATCTGCTAATTTAGGTTTGATTTCATCTGCTAAACTTTTGATACATTGTTGACATAAATAGAATAATGATCATTTAATGTTGATATTGTTTGCATCATAGGAATAGTTTGATTTTTATCATTAACAGAGAACGATGAATAATGAATTAATTCAAGTAATATACTATAATCATCAACAACATTTGTAAATGATATTCTTATATGTGAATGTAAAGAAGTGACTAGATCAGTAAAACGTTTTTCACATAAAGTATCTTTTGCAAAATCATAAATGAAATTACAATTTTTGCATAATGATTCTTCTTTCATTGAAACATTTTTCATGATAACTTATTATGATATGTTTCTGTACTTTATTAACTTGTTGAAAAATATTTTTTAAACATTGTAAATGTCGATAAGTTGATATTGATAGAATTCATATGAGTTTTGATTATTAAACATATCTTCGGATAATTTAAGAACATTAATTTATAAGCGAGAACAAAAGTTAAATAGACAATCATCGAAAAGCATATTTTTAATCATAAAAAGAATTACCTAAAGGTTCTTTTTTTTTGATGAGTTATTCCGATTGTTGAAATGAAGATGTGTGACATTTTTTGTTAATGAAATGCATTACCTACTGTTGAACTATCAAGAAACTAATAATTCCAATTATACAAGAATGTCGAAGCAGAACATACTTTACGATTAAGCTCTTGTCCAGATGAATGCATTAGAATAACACAAAATTTTTGATGAATTTGCAAGTGATTGATTATAAGAGAAAGATCAGTTTTATCGATTAATTGTCGAACAAATGGAATATGTATACGTTGTTGATTCATACGATCATCAATAACAATGATTAGAATCGATTTTTGATTTGATTCTTCAAACATTTGAAATTGTTTATTTCATTCGTTGAAGTTTTTAATAATTGTCTGAAAGAAAAATTGATATTTTTTACTCGAATGACCAAAAGAAGACAAGATGCATATTATGTGAATGTGAGTAAGGGTTAAGCAAGGACCAACACTCACACCCAATATGCGTCATTATATCATGTTCATCATTTGTATGAAATAAACGATTTTTTGATTGTTGATTTAAACTAATAACAGATGATGATGTTCGAATAAATTCATTAATTTTCTTGTAATAATAATATTAATGAGTTTTTGCTCGACATTATCGTTCATTGTTAATAATTCATTATCATTAATGGCTAATTTTGAAGTAGAAATCAATTGATAAAGGAAATTTTCAAAATTCAAATGTTCTTCTTGATAAAAATAATATTGACATAATGATCAAGTAGTACTTTCTTTGAATGTTGGTAATTATTATTAATTCAGGTGAAACTAGTTATAAAAGTTTTGATATAATATAAAAAGAAAATAGTTGTTTCTATCATTTATATCTTATTCGATGAATGGTTGCGATTGCATTACTAATTGATTGTAATTTTCATGAATATTTAATAACTAAGGTTCGTCTTGAGTATTTCTTTTAACAAAAAAATAGAAGATATGAATATAATGTTTCATTATTAAATCCATAGAAATATTCTTTTCCAAAGTGATCAATAAATGATCTAGCTTTTGTTTCTATATTTCGCAGGAATTCATGTTCTTCAATCTGAATTTCTGGTAATTGTATTGAAGAAAAATCTGATATACTAAAAGAATATTTTTGTAAACGACTTAGAAATAGTGCTGGAATATCTTAAAATTCACTTCGTTTTATACAAATAATGCATTGAAACTCTTCATGTACGACGACAGTGATTGTTTTTGGACTAATCGCTACTTTAGAAGAGATTTTTCTATTTTGTTCAGTAGCCATAATTGAAAATAATTCTGATTAAAAACATCATAGAGTGAATCATGGATACGATCTCTATTAATCATTAAGATAGTTTTGCCTGATATACGAAAAACTGTTGTTTGACTTGTATCAGGACTGAGAATGCTATATTGAAAGGAAAGACGTACAGCACTTTCTAAAGATGACGACGAATTGGATCTAATTTCATTGAATTGCGTAAAGCTGTTGGAACATTACGTTAAAATTGTTGTTTTTCGGTAATTAGTGATCGAAATTCAAGACATTATTCTCCAAGTATCTGTTCACATAGGGTGTGAGTGGTGAACTTCTCCCTCACAAAGTTTCAAGAAATAGAATTAAAGGAAAAGAAAAGTTTTCACGTTTGATCGTAAAAGGTGTACTGACAATAGAGTGCGGAATCCAAAAATCTAAAAGGATGTAAGTTCCTCAAAATAGGTTCATGATTTTTAGAAATATGTAAGTCTGAACCAAATTCATCGAAACTACGATTACTTCCATAATCCCTTATATTTTTCAAGAAGTGCTTGAATATCTATTTGGATATTCGACGCGATCTGCAATTGTTGTGTAGTTTCCGAGCTGGAGTTCGGATTCATTGAATGTCTATGGATTCAGGAGAAAGGTAAAAAAAATCAAGAACAAATGATGATGTATTATGTGAACAGTCCTCCAACAGCTGTAGCAAAAATTTTGACTAATTTATCGAACTCTTCGATTTGAACTCCAGTAAAATTATCATCTAACATTCGCAATAAACTTCGTTGTGTTATTTCTCCGATACTAATTTGTTCAACTTCATTTGGATTGATCAACTCCAATCGTTATTCTTTCAACATATAAATACAATCATGATCATAAAATATATGAGGCAAATCTGGTGAACGAAGAACTCGTTAGTATCCTTGACATAAACCATAAATAATCTTACCAAGACGATCATCTGGAGATGATTGTCGTTGCTGTGATTGCAAACCCAAATAACCATAAGCTGAGATTTTCTGATTATCGTCAGATGGTAACGAACGATAAATTCACAAATCGTTCGAGTTCATTTTGAACGATATAATCAAAGTTTGGTATAGCTTGACCAAGAAGTTTAGCTAATTGTTCTCGTGATGGCAACTTTTTATCATTACGTTGTAAATTATCTTCTTTTGTTGAAAGTCGAAAATAATAGGTTAAAGCAATTGATAAAGCAATACATCGAATAGGATTAAGAAAATAAGCTTTTTAATCAAATAAAAATACAAAATACATCTTATAAACTTCTTAAAAAAATACCAAGATTTTTTTTTTACAAAATTCTTGCACTTTCAAAATTGAATCAGCTAATGTTTGTTTCTTGAACATAAATTCCTAATGGCGTCGTTGTATCACTTTTAGCTAATGAATTAACTTGAAACATGGCTATTTTTTGAATAATATGATCAGTACAATGAACTTGTTCTGTATTTTCTTCTATTTTCATAAATGAATTAGTAGTAACAGTAAAGAAGATATTTTTCAAAATGCTTGTACCACGTAATGTTCCATCCATGAATATTTCTTTGAATAGACCAAGATACGAAACTGTATATGCTTTATCAAAGAAAATAACGATTTCTATTTCTGGTAAGTCACGAGCTAATTGAGAAATCAGAGACACAAACTGAACTAATTGTTACTTTTCAGTAACATCAGGATGTAAAAGGAGATAATAGAATAAGGGTTTTATTTGACTATTAAATAAATATTCTTTGAATATTTCAATGGATATTTCAGCATCAGAAGAAGAAATGTCTTGAAGTAACTCTTATAGTCGACAACTACTTTTAATCAAAGTTGCCTCTGAAGTCGTATCATTTTCAGTTGAAACGCTTAGAATCGTTCTTCAAATCTGATATAAAACTGTTTGATTTCTTTTAATGGAACATCATCTATCGGTTCATTATTTTGTTGTTGTTGTGCTGAAGCAGCTAGAGCTGATACTTGGATTGGTTGTTGATTAAGAAGTTCAGCTTTATCGTCATCATCATTTTCTAAAATTTTTGATTTGATTCGTTGAAGGAATGTTTTGGAATAGCATTTCCTTGAAGAGTACCACTCGTAGTTTTCGAATTTAATAATACTGAATAGAGTTTCAAAAGAAATGTTTTTCCTTCACAACAGCATCATTTTCAATGATTAAAGCTAATTTTGTTAATTTTCGTTCATATACATGAGAAAGTTTATATTTGTGTTAAAGATTTTGCTTTATTAATCCTTTGTTGCATAGCAATAGTACCTAAATTTTGAACATGCTGATTGCAACAGAAGTAAGGTTCTTCAAAGAAACGTATATCAGGATATAAAAATTTTGTAAATGAAAGTTCATAGATTTTATTTCTTGGTAATTCTCGAGTATATTTTTGAATACAATTATATATATATTTATATACGACATGCATCAGTATTCGTTATTGGTTCAAAACTAACAGGTATCTTATGACCAGTCTTTGTCATTGTAATCATACGATCAATTGTTTGATCTTTAAATGTTTTTCAAAATCAAGCTACAAGTTGGTCTTCTTTATTAATAGATAATTGATAATTCTTGTTAGTGGCTTCTTCTAATGTTGATGGAGAAATAATGCAAAGAACTGACAAAATTTGATTGAAATTTTCTCGAACACTGACGGTTGGATCGTTTGAACATTCACCAATGAAAAGGGAAAACAATGTTCGATTATAAACTTTCGAATGGTGCATAAACGGATATATTGAGAAAGATCGATGGATTATTGTCAATTATATTCAAATTAAATGAAAGACTTAATTTATCGTTTATACTAAAAGATCCGGTAGGATCAGTCTTATATTCTTTGTTGAAACGAAAAGTTTTACTTGAAGCGAAAAAGTCAGAGAAGTAAATGTTTGTATACGAGAAACAAATAAATGAATATCTTCTTCTGTGGTATTCGAACACCAAAGAATCTGATAGGAAGCTGGTAATTGATTTCGAAATATATTCACAACAATACAACAGGTATCGAGATCGATATCATGTGCAAAAGATATTTGATTTGCGGATCAGTGGAAGACGAGTAATACTGATCAAAAATTATTTTTGATAACGTTGAAGAAGATTATAAAATCATAATTTCAATAATGAGCATTCTTGACGATATTTCTTTAAATTTTGTATATATCATACGTAGTTTTCAAAGTTTATATATTAATTCTAAACTTTAAATCCGAGTCTGAATGGCATTTTGATGACTTCGTAAATCGTTTAACATAATAAATCCAGCTTGAACTGAAAAGAAATTTAAAAAAAAAATTTTATTGTTGATCTGAAAATATGCTCTTACTTTCTTGACGATGTATTTCGTTATGTTTATCTCGTGATTGATAATCAGGATGACCACCTAATTGTAACCTAGTAAACATATGATAGATATTCTCAACCGTTTTTAATCATTTCAATAGTCCATTAATAAAATAGGTTTTGATAGATTAAGTTTTGTTGAATATCAACATTACAAAATGGTAATTGACGTTCATGATCATCAATATCCAACATTGATAATTGAAATTGAAGTTTCTTTCGCTTCAATTCTATCGTTCTCTTTACCTTGCTGGTTCGGGTCATTTTCATTTCTTACTTTTTTTTGTTCCAACTTGAATACCATCAATTGAATAACCAATTTCATAATATGACTGTTGTCTTGTTAAACATCAGAAATAAAAATCAACAGTTCCATTTTAAATAAATGTTCCATAGTAATCAAAGCATTGTCTAATACTGTCGTTTCTTCTGCTGCTAATCACATTGTTACAAGTTGCATATTATCATTAATTACTAGAAAAAAAAATGATTTCATTGATATTTTCACGTTTTCATGTATTAAAATTGATAATCAAAAGGAAACGTGGATCACAGTGGCTTCTAGAAGTCTCTTTTGAATTATAAGATTTATTTCATGAATTGATATCTTACAACCAATGATGTAAGTTACCGATCGCCACATAAATCTATCAGATACCTAGAATCAATTTTTCGGGTTCTTCTAATGTATCCTTTTGGAATACCTTGATTTCAGTCATTTAATCCGTGATCATTCTGAAAAACGGCTAGACTCGGTAATTCAACAAGCTCAGTCGAATAGTAAAATTTAATTGTAGGTTTGATTTAATCTAATGCTGCTATCTCAATATTTCTGTTTTTTCGTGTGATCACAGATGAGATAACTGAGTTCGAAGGATTTCAGAAAATTCTTATAATTCTCGAATTAAGGTTGCTAGGAATGCCGCGTTGGCATTGATGAGAAGAGGTGAATATTTCCTATCGAATATTAATTTTAAAAGTCTGAATCTAAAAGAAAATAACTTTAGAATACCGTTTTGGAAAATCTCTGTCAAGAGATAATCTGATTGATCAATCATTGACCATTGAAATTTCGACAGAATTTGATGGCTCTAGATCTTCCCTATTGAATGACGAATATCACGGGTCTCAAGATGATATCGTTCTCAAATTGTTCGAAAAATTGCAAAGTGCACTAGTTTTTCTCTAGTACTATTGTTATCTTTTCTATTATAAAATTTCCCAAAAGTGAGAGAATTTTCAACACGATCATAAAATGACTTCAGACATCGATTAAAGTATCTACTTAGACTTCTACTTATGATTGAAGCTTACTTTGAATATGATTCAGTGAACTTCCTTCTAAATTCGTTAATTGTGCAATACGAAGAACAAAATCATCGAAATTTTTCCTTGAAACATAAATGATTCAATTAATGTATGTGTTATAATCCATGAATTTATTATCATATTACTTAATTCTTGTAATTGAAATCGTATCGTTATATTATCTCGTAATTCTTGAAAATGGCGCCGATCATGCCTAGAATAAAGATCAGCGTTTTTCATCGTATGAATAACATTTGAACGTTTGACTACTTTTTTTATTAATTGTAAATGTTGATAAGTTAAAGTTTTAAAACATACGTGTAAAATTCTATAAGCTTGAATTATTTCTCTCAATGAACAACATTTCATTACCACCTGAATGTTTTAAATGAATAATTTTTATTTCTTCATTATCTCATGATAAAAGATCGAATTTTTCAATACATCCCACAATAACATTTAATATATGACTATAATAATGATAAATTTGCACTACTCCAAATAATTCGAGGAATTTGACTATTTGTATTATGAATAGTAATTAGTAATTGACCATTACGTTGACTGTCAAATGACCATGAAGTACATTTTTATGAATAGAAACATTTCCTTTCTGAAATAGTTTTTTTATACTGATTATTCGTTCTTTAACTTCGATATTGAATAGTAATATCACATGGATGATTTTTACTAGCCAATGACTATTGAGCTTGTGGACGATCGTTTATAGAAATATTCTGTTTACGAAGTCTTTTATCGTCTACTGTAAATGTATTGTTTGGTTGAAAACGTTTTTAATTCTGTAAGAAATTTCATCGTATTACCTTGAGTATCCAACGTTCCTGGATTAAGAGTTTGAAATGGAATTAAACAATTGAATCGGTGAGAAAGACATCAAAGATCTTTAAATGGTTGTAAACGTTTCAAAACACCATCAAAAATTATTCTCGTTTCAATCAAAGTCATCTTAGGATCATCACATGTTCTTAAGAAATCAATTAATAATTGATTCGAATGATTAACATTATGAACGTTGAATCAATCAATAATGTATTGAAGAATATTAATAAATCGATCAAAACATTCTTCAATGGAACACAACAACGAATGACTGAATCAGTCAACAAGTCACGATATAATGAGCATTTGCCTAAACATAAAAACTAACTTAATAAAAATCCATGTAGTTCAAACGAAGCAAAAATCATCAGAAGACCATTCGATATAATATGTGTTATATAGGAAAATGATTTAACCATCGGTGCTTGTTGATAGTGGTAAAAACTCGGCAATATAGCTCACTAGATCAGAGTCTACAAATTTTCTAGAGACCGATTTCTTTTGTGAGTCTGACCCGACAGTGTCTACTCTAAAAGTAATATAGTGATTCTTTCGAAAGCGTACCAGAGTAAGAAAATGTAAAAAAACCTTGTCCAGGGTTGAAAATTGGGGCAATCTGCAGTGTGCCAGACAGAGCGCACCTTAACTATTTCTCTGTTTCAAATAATAGAAATCTGATAATTTTATCATAAATACTTCTGATTGAGATGGTAATTATTTTTTGCGGAGCTTTTGGGTCACTGTGTTTTGTGTTTTGGAAAATTGTTACAGAACAACGCGGCCTTTTGACATTACTGGCAGACTCAACCTATATTAGTACTTTAGAATTGTCGAACTACTCGCTATCTAATGGTAAGGACTCATCGACGTGTATCTTGTTCCCCGAACAGAATGACAAAGATATCTATGGAACCTATTTTCACAGTTTTACCAACATTGCACTATCCTTTAGCTAAACCACGAAGTTTTCAACACTAGTTCTATGGTGTATCTTCATTAGTACACCTAGCATGATCATACCTGAAACTTTTGTTTATGATTAA